CTCACCCGGAGGCTCCCCCGGCGCGCGGGGGGAGAGCAGTGTGTTTGTGAGACTCCCTCTTTTTTAAAGGTGTGGGCAAGTTTGAGAAACACTGTTCTAAGTTGGCTTTTTCATCTTCAAAACAGCAGGAAACACCACCATCCATTTTGGGCAACCATGGTTGCAGGGGTTATGCCAAAAAGCATCAAGCGATAGAAAAAGTAATGGAAGAGAGGAGAGGGCTCCCTTTTGGCTTACCTTCCAGCCTTCCAAAGTAAGCCACTGGGCCTAGAATGTCAGGAAGGTGCCCCCATCCCCTTCCTTTGGATACAGTCTCCAAGACCACAAGATATTTAATTGCCTGGAAAGGACAAGGCCTTTCTATTCACCTCCCATTAGGCTCAGCTAGAAAAATCACCCCAACTTTTTTCAGATTTTCACAGGAGTCTGTGAAGGGGTGCTGTTCCTTTAATCCTTAAAGCATCACCACCACCTTTTTCAGGCCTGCAGAAAGTAGAGCTACTTTAATGGACAGGAGAGAGATGCTGTTTTTCTGTGGGGTCGAGAGCACTTCTTCCAAATAATTTTAGAAGGGGGCAATCTCATATTACATTACATGCCATGTCTTCTTCCATTCCACTCCCTCACAACAACTCTGGGAGGCAGATTGAGCTGAGAGATGATGATCGGACAAAGTTCTCATTGAAATTTCCTGGTTGAGTGTGGACTTGAGTCTGGGATCAGTTCTAGTCCAACATCTTAACCCAGTGTTTCCCAACCTTGGCAACTTTAAGGCATGTGGACTTCAACTCCCAGAATTCCCAGTCCACATGCCTTAAAGTTGCCAAGGTTGGGAAACACTGCCTTAACCTATACTACATTAGGTCTTCTGCCTGAGATCCAGGAGAGATCCTGGCCATCATGTGTGCGTTCTTTCTCACGCATGGATACACGGAGGAAGCAAATGCAACATCAGACATTTTGCAAGGCCAGCACCAGTAGAAACGGAAAGACGCACAGCCACTAACGCTCCCATCCTCCCAGAGTTTCTACAGCTTAAGGCTGCAGTTCTGTACGTATTTCTCCATATCGTGAATTCAGTGAGATGTACTTCTGAGCAGACAAAAATAGACACCCGCATACAGTTTTCATGGTAACAGCATGCAAGCGGTTAGCATTGCCTTTCAGACGGTTTTTTCGACTTCCCAAAATAGGGATGTTCCTCAGAGCTTCCAAGAGGGTCAGGAGGCATGAGTGTGTTGAACTCCAAGCTGCAGCCCACAATTATATAGCACTGCAGGTATGGTGATGGGCTTTGACCTGAAGGAAGTATATTATTAGGAACCATTTCCCCCCACCCCAAGAAGCTTTAACCTAAAGAACAATTGTAATTGAGCCTTTGAAGTCTGTAGAGGGCAGACCAAGATAAAAACTAACCCACACAAAATACATATTTTTAAGAATGTGTAAGGGGTGGACATGTGGCCCAACAGGGGCATTATTTCTTTTGCGGGTGCAAAAGATAGAGATCAGTGTTTCTCAAACTTGGCAAGTTTAAGACGTGTGGACTTCAGCTCCCAGAATTCCCCAGCCA